CCCCACCCCCGCCCAACACACACATTTTCACACTCCAGTGCAAGTTGGTGAAGTAAATGCACCTCGGCTCACACAACTCATCTCCGCGTGGCTCAGCCTGTCATAATCCAGGTCCATAATGAGACAATTTAGATGTCTGCTGTCATGGYGAGCTGTCAGCCACAGCTCCGCTCGGCTTCGCGCTGGGCTTTCACGGGGAGAGCATCTCGCGATTCTCCTGACAAATCTCTACCCATCCTATCGGGCTACAGGAAAGAAAAGTGTAATGAAAGCTTCTAAAAATAAGCCAACCCCAGTGATAACACTGGCAGTATAGATTAACTCCTGCAGACTGTAGGGAAAGCGAAATATAGGATGACAAGTAGCTTTTTGTCTCAATCAGTTGGTGGTGGAGCGATGTGGCAGGAGATCTCTTAGTTGTGTCTGAGAGATGTATAGATCAGTGGATAATGCACATTTCATCTCTCAAAACAAAGATCTTATTGCTCTGAAATAAGATCCAGTTTCCCTGGTATCGTGTCTGATCTTGTAGTGCTTGCGTTCAGCTGGTCAAACACAAGAAGGCGCATTTTATCCTGACCTCCTGTGACCTTGAACCCCCCCAATTTGCCCTCTTTCTGACATATCTCAACACATCTTCTCTCACTTGGTAATTCCTTAATTAAAGTTTAATAAAAGGGGAATTTCAGGAATGCTTTGTTATTGCTGCCACCGATCCTTGGGTGAGTGGGTATATGGGCTGAGGTAAAAGTGATCAGTCAGAAAAGAGAAACACAAGCTCTGCTAATGATGAACAGCCTGCTCCATATTCGCCTGTCCTAGTTTCACCAACTCCTAATGTGATTTCTGCTGTTGTCTTTTTCAAATTATTCCCACTCTTTGTCTAATTATGGCCCTGCAGAAAGTCCTGGCGCTTTATCCCCGTTGATTCTGCAACAGTGCATTCGCGGAGCACAGACAGATATACGTCTCCTGCTTGCCCATCCAGCTGGATGAGTAAAAAAGAAGTGTCTGTCCTCTGGTTCCATGCCAAGCTCATCAGCTGCACTGATGTCTGGCAGGAACAAACTATACATCACAGCGCCACGTCCGTGCAGAAACTCAGCGTGGCAAACGGGCAGGAGCTGCTTATTGATAGTTGTAAAGCTGATTTGTGCGCATCGGCTGCCAAAAACAGCCACATAACAAATGTGTGCACTTGTAAAATGAATCCACAGTGTAATGAGTTTTTTATTTATTTTTTTTCTGCCACTGACGGATTGAACTGCGCTGTCCTGGGAAGTCAAACTACAGCAACAAGTCCACGAAGACCAAAACATCAAATATAGAACATGTACAATGAAGAACGACCGCAAAAATCTCCCCGCCCCCCAGCTGCGTTTAATTTTCTTTGTCACGGCAAATTGATTTGTTGTCCTCTTGAATTATTCTTGTTTGTTTACTCGTGTTGCTCATCTCTCATCAAACCCATCATGAATCTGTCGTGTGCAATCTCGTAGATCATTTTCACGCTTGGCTGAGCTCAAATCTAATCTCTCCTTGTTTGTTTGTGTTTGTGTGTTTTCCTCACTTGCTTACCTGATACCTCCCCCATCCAGCTTCCTGCAGTTTGTATGAATACGTAAACAAAAGAGCTTGAAGTATGTAAACTGATGAGTTCTAATGTGAGAGGAGGCTTTAGTTAGATTATCACCTGAGAAATATATCTTCCTCAGCCGCCACAACTGAATAACATTAAAACTGTA